AAATATAATGTCCACTACAGAGGCAAAAACTCCATAGCTGGGTCTCAGGAGGATATATATATACATATATATATATATATATATATATATATATATATATTTGTTTGTTTGTTTGTTTTATTAACCTGAGGGTTAATGAATAAAAATGGCTCCTGGAAATGTCTTGTGGGTTGCGGCATTGCTCGTGGGACTGACCGCTGTTTGCGTAAAGTTTCTTCTTCCTGCGAGTAGAGCTCGCGATTCCTTTCCAGTCGGCGTAACTCCAACCGCAGTCGGTGTACTCTTTGTAGATCGGTCTCATCTGGACACAAACAACTGGTTGCATAAGAACATTCATCTGCATGATAATAATTCTTAATGATCAATTACAATGTTTTAATTGCATACCACTTTCACCCACACTGCTGTCAAAGCCAGCTTTGGTCGGGGACCCTCTGCCAGACATAATGAACGCAACTCTGGGCTAACAACAGAAGTTTTGAATTATGAATAATAAACACAAAACACGAGTAACAACAAACTTCACTGTCACCAAGTCCTATGATTTGTAAAAAATAAATAAATTACTGTAATTGATCAAACTCTACAAAACTCTTTAAAGACGCCGTTTCTGTTACAAGTTACAAATGGTCGCATCCGCTCTTACGTTAAAAATAAGGTGGATAGAAAATATGGGGTACATTATATGTCCCCCATAGGTCTAAATATTTAGAGTAACGTACAAGCTACACATTTCACAATAAGTATCGTACATTAAACGTTTGATTCACTGAGATTGTAAAATGATTTGATCTGCCCAGCAATGCCCTAGAAACAGTCATAATCCCGACTGTCTTCTGTGTTGCAAGTCCCGATCGATTAATCAAATACAAAAACCCAGAGGCCTTTCAATAATAATAATAATAATAATAATAACAATTTACACGAGGAGTTTATGAATGAAAATTAAGCAGAGGATAAGGAAAGTAGCAGTATGTTCCACGGAGAAAGAGACTGTGGCGTCTGATTTTCCCTCAACACTTCTGTGAGTGACAACTAACTAACTAACTAACTAAGTAAATAATGTCTTATCTTACCCAAGGTGGCTTTAATCGTCTGCCTCCGTTTTAGCGGGTTGATTGTTGTTAGCAACAGTATCTAAGAAAGATACCGGTCAGCAGGGGGCGCTGCATCTTACAATCACGAGAGCAGTGGAAGGAACAGAGTTTTATTTTTTATTTTATTTTATTGAAATTAAACATTTTATGTATGAGGAGTCATACAAGAAACACACACACAAAAATCAGTTGACAATTTCAGCTGTATATGTGTATAGGTTTACGACACTTTCTGTCCTCGTGTATATTAATATTATTATTATTATTTATTTTTTATTTTATTTTTTTAAATCTAAAAATGCAGAAAGTTTTCAGTGAGGGGTAGGTTTAGGGGTAGGGTTAGTGTAGGGGGATAGAAAATACAGTTTGTACAATATAAAAACCATTACGCCTATGGAGAGTCCCCATAAAACATAAAAAACAACGTGTGTGTGTGTACATATAATATAAAAGGCAGGGCTTACAATATTGATCTGATTTGATTTTATATGCGTTAGTAATAGTAATTATCAGTAATGAGATACAAAATTGTTTTTAATAATTCATACAAGCAAACAAAAAAAAATAGTTGACAATTTTAGATTGGATTCCTGGTGCCATGTGTTCCCCAGGTAAGCGGCACACAAGCACCCGGCCATCCACATTATGTAAAAGAAAACATGATTCATCAGACTAGGCCACCTTCTTCCATTGCTCCGTGGTCCAGTTCTGATGCACACGTGCCCACTGTTAGTGCTTTCGGCGGTGGACAGGGGTCAGCATGGGCACCCTGACTGGTCTGCGGCTATGCAGCCCCATACGCAACAAACTGCGATGCACTGTGTATTCTGATACCTTTCCATCAAAACCAGCATTAACTTCTTGAGCAGTCTGAGCTACAGTTGCTCGTCTGTTGGATCGGATCACATGGGCCAGCCTTCGCTCCCCACATGCATCCATGACCCTGTCGCCGGTTCTCCTTGGACCACTTTTGATAGATACTGACCACTGCAGACCGGGAACACCCCACAAGAGCTGCAGTTTTGGAGATGCTCTGACCCTGTCATCTAGCCATCACAAATTGGCCCTTGTCAAACTCGCTCAAATCCTTAAGCTTGTCCATTTTTCCTGCTTCAAACACATCAACTTTGAGGACAAAATGTTCACTTTCTGCCTAATATATCCCACCCACTAACAGGTGCTGTAGGCTCAATAGCATTAGGCCCCTCAGTTTTCACCAGTGGAGTTCCTCTGTGAATGAAAAATAGAGCCCCGACCCACACATGTGATGCTAGCACCAAGATTCCTCCCAGAATAATGGGATAGAGGCAGCTTGTGCTTCGTAGGGTGGACCACTGGCTAGCAGGACATGATTTACACTGGATGTCATCTTCCAATCAAATGAGGAGGCAGACAAAGATAGATAAATACACTGATAAAAGTGCACATACAGAGTATACTATATGAGAACTCCATCCTCACTCCAACAATGGACCAATGACATGATAAATGATTGTTGGGAAATTATGAGTATATGCAAACAGATTATTCAGAGCACTTATTTCACTATGGAAGTATTATGTAATGTATGACAAAAAAACTGCTGTGCCTCAATGTCTCCTGTAGATGGCAGAATTTACTTACATGCAAACAAAAGGATTAGAACATGTATTGTACAGTATACTGGTTTTTATCTTAATAAAAATTTAAACATCCTGTAGTATGTGACTTAATTTTTGTATTGCACTTTTCTAAATCTTTATATAGCGTCTAAATAATTATGATTTTTAAAAATATTATATCATATACTTACCGGGGTCCCTAAAGGGACTGGGAAAAAAATATTAGGTGGGAGACAGAAAAATGTAGGCTTATGTAAAAACTCTCTCAAACCGTTTGCTATCAGTTATTAGTTTGTGATGGAAATAAAATGAAGTAAATGAATGAATGAATGAATGAATGAATGAATGCTGCATTTCAATGCTTTTGCAAGCGAATTGAAGTTACTCAGGGAAACGCAATAGGCCCACTTTTGCAAGAGAACGTAAAAGTTTTGCGAGCAATTAACGCAAACTCACTGAAAATCTATTTTCCCTCCCATCTTGTCCACTTATGGGTTCCATAATAATAATACACATATTTTATTATTTATTTAGTAAAAACAAGATCTACAGTTTAACACATAAATATAATAACTGCAGTTACTATATAATGAATTAATATGGGATCTCCTTCAGACAATGTACGAAGCTTTCAGCATTCAGAAAGAACTATTTTGATAACCGTGGTGGCAAAATTCTGAGCGTTGCACCATTAAATTAATAATTGGAACGTAACTGTACGTATAAAGTAAACATTTAACACGATCTAAACGAACAGAACAGAACACCTCTCTCCTGAATCTAACCAAACTCTCGCAGCTGGTCACCATGGTGATTTTGGTAGGGGCGTGGCTGCACAGAGTCACGTGACTCTTCCACCAGCGACTCCTCCGGTGTGGCTCGTAGCGTCGCGGCTTGCGCTGAAAGATGGCCGCGGTGGAGCAGCGCCCACCCGTGCGGGACGGGGTTCGGATCGGGGTGCTGTGCATGTGCTGGTACACCGTCAGCTCTGGTGGCAACGTGGTCAATAAAATCATCCTCAACGACTTCCCCTATCCGGTCACAGTCTCTCTCTTTCATATAGTCTCCATCATCGTGTTTCTCCCGCCGCTGCTGCGAGCCTGGGGCGTCCCGCGAACGGAGTTACCGGCCCGCTACTACCGCTGGTTCATTCTGCCGCTCGCCTTCGGGAAATACTTCTCCTCCGTCTCGGCCCATTTCAGCATATGGAAGGTCCCGGTGTCGTACGCGCACACTGGTGAGTAACGGGAGGCTTTCGGTTATTAGGTTTATTGACTTCGGTTATTCGGTATTACAGGCCTTATTCTTCGAGCTCAATTTAAACCCAACCAGATTGGATAGGTTCGGCTCGGTTCGTTTAATCGAATTTAAATTGCCGTAGGTTATTAATTTATCGCTGTCTGACATTAACCACAAATCTCTGCTGTGAATTAAGTCTGAGTTATCAATTTAAACGTCCACTTTCATCCAAACTCTAGGAAACAAATCGTAATAGGGATTTAATTACTTTTTCTACGTCCGAGTTTTGATAACACTACACTTTATTGCAGTGATCCCAGACTACGTCACTTCCGCACTCTTAATAATACTGCCACATCATCCACCTGCAGATCTGTAATACAGACTTGTCTAGTTTTGGAAGCTTCGGTTCCTTTTGTTTACGTGGCCTCCATTATTAACAAACCCTGCGTTAGTGTTAGAAACCCTGATAGTAAAAGAAGCTTTATCTGCCAAATGTACAATGACAGAGTATTAGCAGAGTAGAGCTGTACATATAGACATGAAATGTTTTCTTACAAACCTGTTGTTAAAAAAAAAAAAACTACAGGAAAGCTAGGACTTAGTAGTAAATTATTGTTTGGAAAGTCACACCTGACAGTGATGTCCTTGAAATGATAATGAGCTACTGCTCAACTCAACTCAACCCTGGCTTCCGTGCAAGAAAAGCTAAAAAAGTGAAAATTTCATCCGACATCCCCTTTAAAGAAAGGGTTCTCAGCCAACTCGAGAGGTGGTGCAGCCAAAAAAATCTAAAAGTTAATCTTGCTTGAAGAAAAGGTGCAACTCTCATTTCTAGAAAAAGAAACTAAACTCTATTGGTTAAAATCCTCTATACTCTAAAATGATCCACGAGTACACAACTGTAAAACTGGAAGATGTTCATTGGTTGAAAGGTGTGTGAAGTTAGTTGTGAACTGCTTGGGTAAAGAGTAAGTGGTAATAAAAAAAGTATATTATATAAAGTGATGAGAGCACTATGGTTGTATAGAATGAGATAAATATACATAACCAAAGTGAATAATATTGCAGGACAGAAACAACCAATAACCATATTTTATATATAAAAAATATATATATATATATATATGATTCTTTTATCAGGAATTAGGTTGTGTTTGTCAGTCTTATTGCTTCTGGGTTGTTAACTCCCTACTGATCTAACTGATTCTTTAAGTGCCATTCACACCTATGGTGATAATTATAACTATGAAGTTTTAATAATCTGTCTAATTATGAGAATAGTGAAGTCCATGCCACAGCTATAACAATAACGACACAGAGTAACAATATGATTGTAACCACTTTACTCCAGCTGATGAACAATAAAAACAGCCAATCAGAATCCCACTGACTTTAAAGAGCTTGAGCTTTCAAAGCGGCAGACGGCATAACTGCAGTGTGTGCTCAAATAAACAGAACAGTATCGTCTGTAAGTGTAGGCGTGAATACAGTTGTCGTTCTTGGCGTGAACAGACCTTTACTTTGTTTCCATTTATACAGATTTTTAGTCTAGTCAGCTTTGCTGCTGGGAAAAATTTTAAGTTGTCGTTGAGAGATTCAGATTTTTTTTTTTTCTTTACATTTTTTTTTTATTGTCAGATGACCTGCGATGCGGTCCGTTTGCAGCGACGGCTGATGCATTTGAGTTTGTTCGGACACGGATTGCTTTAAACAGCTGTGTGTTTTAAATATGAAGCAGCATTAGTGCAGGAATCAGCAGGGAGAGCGTGAGTGTTGTTTTCGAGGACTCGACTGCAGCTGAGATGTTTCAGATACCAGGTGCAATCACAAGACTTTACAGACGAACATGTGATGACACTAATGGTGATGTTATTAGATGAGTGAATGCATGTCTTCTTTTCATTCCTTCATTCTAGTGAAGGCCACCATGCCCATCTGGGTGGTTCTGCTGTCACGGATTATCATGAGAGAGAAGCAAACCACAAAGGTCTGTCTTCATCTAAACACAGTTAGAAATAAGTCATGTATTTACTGAATTCATAATGGCTTAAACAGTCACTGGTTGCTTAATAGTAATCTAATACTTAAGTTTGTTTGCATGTTTGATGAGTTTGGCTTTTTTCGACCAGGTTTATGTGTCTCTTATACCCATCATTGGAGGCGTTCTGTTGGCCACTGTCACTGAATTGTCCTTTGACGTCTCTGGATTGATCAGCGCTCTGGCAGCGACGCTCTGCTTCTCTTTACAGAACATATTCTCGAAAAAGGTTCATATTTCTATTAGGTGATTTCTGTCAATTAGGAAAAGTCTGGAATGGCTTCTTGTGTGAAATAATTTTTGTGGTTGTTTTAGGTCTTGCGTGACACAAGGATTCACCACCTCCAATTACTAAACATCCTGGGCTTCAATGCACTTATGTTTATGCTGCCCACGTGGATTTTAGTGGACCTCTCATCTTTCCTGATGGATGGAGATCTGGTAAATAGGGTTTTAATGATTTTATATGAATAATATTAATATATAAGAGGATGTTTATCTGTAAATATGTCCAGTTCATATGTTGTACCAAAATCAAAAAAATGTTTTAGATGAAAAATTTTGGCACTGTGACATTGTTTTTGTCTGCCCCACTGTAATATAGTAATGACATTACAAAGGGTCAGTTTGGACACAATGATTTTGTTTAATGAATTATTTTTATTTTTATTAAAATTAGCTTAAATTGAGTTCAGTATGACAAATGTTTTTACAGTTTTCTACAATTGACATGTCATTAATTTGCAGTAAGGAGAGTATATACAGTATATATATATATATTATATTATATTATATAGGCCTATATATATTTCTAGATACACGCGCACACATACACACATATACATACATGTGTGTGTGTGTGTGTGTGTATATAGAAATGTTCTTCATTTTATTGATCCAAAAGGTCATATACTGTCATTCAATGGGGAATGGGGAAGTCGTGGCCTAATGGTTAGAGAGTCGGACTCGTAACCCAAAGGTTGCGGGTTCGAGTCTCGTACCGGCAGGGATTGTAGGTGGGGGGAGTGAATGTACAGTGCTCTCTCCTACCTTCAATACCACGACTGAGGTGCTCTTGAGCAAGGCACCGAACCCCCAACTGCTCCCCGGGCGCCGCAGCATAAATGCTGCCCACTGCACGTGTTCACGGTGTGTGTGTGTTCACTGTTGTGTGTGTGCACTTAGGATGGAATTAAATGCAGAGCACTAATTCCGAGTATGGGTCATAACCATACTTGGCCACATGTCACTTCACTTCAAAAGTGTAGGATTTTTTTATTTTTAATGATTTTTATTTATTCAGCAATGGCACAATAAATTGATCAAAAGTGACAGTAAAGACTTAAATTCTTACAAATCTTACTTTTTCAAATAAATGGTGTTCTTTTGAACTTTCTATTCAACAAAGAATCCAGAAAAAGTGTCATGGTTTCCTCAAAAATATTAAGCAGCAAAACGATCTTTAGCGTTAATAATAAGACATGTTTCTTGAGCAGCAAATCCACATATTAGAATGATTTCTGAAGGATCATGTGACACTGAAGACTGGAGTAATGATGCTGAAAATTCAGCTTTACCATCACAGGAATAAATTACATTTTAAAATATATTACAATAGAAAACAGCTGCTTTAAATTATAATACTATTTCACAATATTACTGTTTTTACTGTAATTTCTATCAAATAAATGCAGCCTTGGTGAGCATAAGAGTCTTCCTTCAAAAACATAAAAAATAGTAGTGTACATTTTTTCATGAGATTCAACCCAACTCTTCATGCTCACGCTCATTTCTCCTCCCACTTTCTTCTACAGACAGAGGTTTCCAACTGGACAGGAACAATTGTGCTGCTCCTCATTAGTGGTTTCTGCAACTTTGCACAAAACATGATAGCCTTCAGTGTGCTGAACCTGGTCAGCCCACTCAGTTACGCCGTAGCCAACGCAACAAAGAGGATCATGGTCATCAGTATATCCCTACTGATGCTCAGGAACCCCGTCAACACTTCCAACATTATCGGCATGATGACAGCAATACTAGGCGTCTTCCTCTATAATAAGGTAATTATACATGTCATTAATTGTTTTTTCAACCACAAATGAGGAGGAGGTTGTACAGTGGAATGCAAAAACTTGATGTCAACTTAAATATCATTGCTTCTCTCACCAGGCGAAATACGATTCTAACCAGGAGGCCAAAAAGAAACTGCTGCCAGTTTCAGCACAGGATATGGTTTCATTCGACAAGCCCCAGTCCAATGGCTCTGGGCCCTTCGCTCACAGCTCAGACTTTCAGCACGGTCGGAGCACAGTACTCACCGACCACTTTGAGTACAGCCGACAGGCCTACACAACAAATTTCAGCTCCAAGCAGTATGTTGTGTGAGTCGAGCACTTTGGAGGTCTCAGACCCCCGTGCTTCAGAGGAGATGGGTGTATGTTTCATACGGACGAGGAAGTGGCGGAATGACTTGAAAAAGAATGTTTACTCACAAAATCCTACTGCTTTTTTCACAGGCCTGTTATTTATTTCAGTACAAACCCTATTTTGTATGTTTCCCATTTAGTTTATGAGGAATATTTCAGTAGTATGTGCAGATTATAGCAAGGTGCTGGGATATTTTTGGTAGGTTTTTTTTTTTTTTGCACAGGATGCATTTCAATGCAGTTCAGAATGTAACGTGTCTTCGTCGTCATCATGCTACTGTGAGTGAGAGACAGATAAAAGAGTGAGACCTCTGCCATATAACATACACTGGGGTCACTGCAAATACAAATGCATCAGGGTGTTAGTCAATGTTCTGGTTTCGCCTTTAATTTGTAAATATTTTATTTTTATCGAGGAAGGTGTATTGGTTAACCATATCATGAACTGAAAACACCCCATTGATTTTTTCGAATGTCTAATATCTGTGAAGGAATGTTTTTTTCATTCCGGGGGTGTTAAATTAGACTGAGGTCACTGTACAAGATCACTTGAATCATGGTTCTCACATTCATATGCATGATTATCAATTTTTTGCATTATGTTATTTTTACTGTGCATAACCTATGGGTCAGTTTCATTAATATTAAATGTCTGGGAAGGGAAAACCGGGGATTCATAAAGCAGTTTATTTATTTAATTTTATGTTGTTATTTTTTTTTTCCGTTTAAATTTGTCTCAGTTCCTCAAACTGAAGTTTAAGAAAACTTCTAATAAAACGTTTGAGGACATTGTTTCCAAACTGTTGATTCTTCGACACTGAACTCTATGAGATTTTGTCTTGTTAAAAGGTGCAATATTCCTTTCAATCATGACAGCTGGAGGTGTTTCAAGCCCTTTTAGCGTGTAAAACCTGTAGTTAACAGAATCTGTGGACTAATTTTCGGGATAAATATGGTAACATTTGAAAAATGGTGCAAACTAGCCAAAACAATTTATTGAACGGTTGTGGAAAGAGTTCTGCGGCTGGAGATTTCTTGTGGGCCTACTTTTTAGATGTTATTGACCAGTTGTCGTCTTCGTTCCCAAATTTATGCCAGTTTTAGCTAAATGTGTGAGGTGGGGGATTCGTTTTTTTTCCCTCTTTTTTTTTTTTTTTTTTTTTTTTTTTTAAGTGTCTTGCTGCTGGAAAGTTAGACACATTTTTTGGCAAAAAGCATGCAGATGTTTGCATAACTGCAATGAGAAAAGAACTTGGAGTTCTTTTAAACATTTTAAGTGTTATGGATTTTAAATAGCATCGATATTTTTCATGTTGTGTATTTTGAAGGACTCTGTCTTTATGTCTCTCTATATATTGTGAATTTATTGGATCAGTTCAGGCAGATGAAGTGGTTCATTAAAGGGTTACTCCACCCCAAAATGAAAATTTTGTCATTAATCACTTATCCCCATGTCGTTCCAAACCCGTAAAAGCTTCGTTCGTCTTCGGAACACAATTTAAGATATTTTGGATGAAAACCGGGAGGCTTGTGACTGTCCCATAGACTGCCAAGTAAATTACACTGTCAAGGTCCAGAAAAGTATGAAAGACATCGTCAGAATAGTCCATCTGCCATCAGTGGTTCAACCGTAACGTTATGAAGCGACGAGAATACTTTTTGTACGCGAAGAAAACAAAAATAACGACTTTATTCAACAATTCATCTCCTCTGTGTCTCTCCGCATCACCGTAGCGCCATTTTGGAGAATATCCACTGAACGCAAGCAGCGTACGCTGTTCTGTGTCAGCCGCGACACAAGGATATGTTTTCTATGTGTGTTTACGCTTTGATTTGAACGAAAACAGCGCATCCGTGCAGCGCAGCTGTCGTTGCTTCATAACGTTACGGTTGAACCACTGATGGCAGATGGACTATTTTGACGATGTCTTTCATACTTTTCTGGACCTTGACAGTGTAATTTACTTGGCAGTCAATGGGACAGTCACAAGCCTCCCGGTTTTCATCCAAAATATCTTAAATTGTGTTCCGAAGACGAACGAAGCTTTTACGGGTTTGGAACGACATGGGGGTGAGTGATTAATGACAAAATTTTCATTTTGGGGTGGAGTATCCCTTTAACTGATATTGTAACTTGAGCAGCCAAAAAGCAAGGCTGTGGGTGTGCTCTCTTCTTTCTGCCTGTTTTTCATTGGATGAAGCCTATTGCTCTTACTTTGTGACATCACTAGTGTGCAAATTCGCTTCTCAGTGCCGATTTCTTCTCTTATCCCCAATTCTTACTGCTTTTAGGTGACTGGTTGTAATCTGTACAAGAAACATTGGGCTGATGCAGCGTATTCATTAACAAGATGTTGTGTGTAAGCACTGGAATCCCAATTTCTCAAAATGAGTTTTTAAGGGATTCAAGAAAGCCTTGGAAAGCATAACTTTTTGATTTTTGTGTTGTTTTATTACACAGTAAATAATTGTAAACTGAGCCTAAACCCCTGAACCCTGAACTCAGCTCAACAGTACCAATATTTCAGCGATTTTACCTTTCCATTCAGAATATCATGCACTACTGTAGTACCTAATGTTTTTTTTCTTTCCCGTTTCAGCATCTTCAAGCTCTTAGACCTTCCCCCCCTGGGAGATTGACTTGTGTCTCTGTAATCTGACAGTCATGTTGAGTCCTGTTAATTGGGGTTTTTTTCGTTTGTTTTTCTATGGTGTGGAAATGCATTGTCACACTTTCTGTGTTGAGATTGTTTTACTTTCACTTTCACTGTTTATATATTATTTAGTTTTTAAGATGCCTTGGTACGGTTAATGTTAATGCAATATAGTTTTTTTCTGGTCAACTTAAAGGTTATAAGATGTCTTCTTTTTAAATGTGAAAATAAAGAAGATTCATTGATAAAGTCTTGCTGTACTATTTGTTTAGGTCTGCAAAGTCACATTTAGGATCTAAAAATGCCTTTTGTTTCTACGCAGAACCTTGTGAACCTCACTGTGGGGAGAATATCCAAACAACAAGAAAATAACATTGACCCTTTTGTTTTTATGAGTAGCACAGTTTAAAACCTCATACAAATAATTATTCTTAGTTCTAGATTAGAATTCTCAAATGTAGTTCTATAGTGCATGTGTAAAAGTGAACATGTTTTAAAAAAATGGGAAAAGGGTTCAAGCTTCTTTACACAGTGACTTTTTAATATAAAGGAATTAGCCTAAGGATATTTAATTACTTGCATATTTCTCAATTTTAATAGGGATCCAACACCCTACTAAGTATTTTTTTTTATTTTTTACAGTTGGCCACATTTTTGCTTGTGTCTCAGGATATAAACGAAATCCTTCTTGCCTATAATTCTGTGAATTTGGATGTAAGAGTGATAGATTTAATTTTTTTCACCAAACTTCCTCCTTAATGGACATGAATCTTTCAGAAAACCATTCAGCAGATACAAATGTATCTTGTGAGCACAATATCTAAAATCCAATAAGCTAAATACAATTGGACAGTGGGCCATTATGAGGACACGTCATAGGCACTTTCATTTTCGTAAGAAAAATATCCTAAGATTTCTGCAACTGTGGTCAAGGAAGATATTTTGCCACAAAACTCAAAATGGGTTATTTTCCTTTCTGACCGACAGAGGGAGGCAAAGCTCCGTCTTGCCTCTCCATCACAGTTTAGCTGCGAGAGAACGGCACTGTCAACCTCACACAGACTATAAAGGCAATATTCAAAATGTAAGATGTTTCCATAAATTATATTTAAATATGTATATTAAATGAAGCCATTACTCAAGTCATCAATAAACTAAACTCTCAACGTTCCGAGGCAATACAACATTTCTCACGCCTGTAGGCTCTATGTAGACGTGCAAAGACGTGGTTTATTTTAATGCATCTCTCACAGCCTCCTATAACTCTGTATGTAAATGCGGAGTTGCCCAATGGATTTGCCTTCATTCATCTCTAGAGTACTTCCTGCTGTAACAGGTTTGAGTGGTCGCTCATCTGCGCTTCAGGAAACTGCAGCAGTCTGCCGCTCTCTTCAGCTCAACTCACATGACATGAAGCTTTGGAAATAAAACACATGGTAAGGCCAGCTCGATTCTCTTTTGAGTGAAATGACCGTAAATAGGTGTTTTCAAACCTCCTATATAATTATTAGATGACTGCTGAAGAATCAGTTAATTCTGATACTGATATCATAAAGTTGGTCTGGCATCAAATCTAAATAATCGCTTCTCATGGATTATCATTATTATTATTATTATTATTATTATTATTAGTAGTAGTAGTATTACTATTATTATTATTGTTGTTGTTGTTGTTGTTGTTACAACCTTTTACACCAGTACACCAGTAGGCCTACCTATTTTGGTCATCATCAGCAGCCCAGATCCCAAAATACTGCACTGTTTAGTTCTTCAGAGATCTCTCTGTTTTGAGACGTAGTCAATAAAACTTCTCTGAACCGAACCGAGTTTATTGAGAACACCCTGAACATGGGTTAAACCTAAATCGCCTTTAACCCTAAAGTAGCTAATCCCGCGTTGTCTTGTTTCATGATGTTCTTTTTTTTTTTTCTACATTGAATACCTTTAGCACTTCTTTCAAAATGATAATGTGAAATATTACTTCACCCGGAGTTGAAATATGCATTTAAAAAAAAAAGTGAATCCAGGGCTATATGGAGATATATGCTTTCCTTTCTATCTTTTCACACTGCATCTGGGTTTGTTTAGTGTATATGTTTAGAGAGAAATAAGATTAGAGGTCATAACCACTAGAGGTTTATTGTTCATTGCGTACTGTAATAAAGCATCATCTGTATTTTGATTATTGATGCTGCTAATTAATGGACAGCAACGAGCATAGACTACAGACATTCTGATTAGTGGTCAGTCAGTGTGGGTTTTTCAGTGATTTTTAAAACTAGATTTTAGTGATAATCTCATGGCTCTGTTGAAGACGTATCACACAAATCCTCAAAAGAATGAAAAACGAGTCTCTGTAAGAAGGATCATTTTAGTGTGATGTCAAAGTGTGAATGATATGATTGTTTGGATTGTGGCTGGAGCAGATAAGACAAAGCTTTCATTTTTCTTTTGTCATTGACACGGGTTGCGTTTTTAGCAAAGCATGCAGCTAATTGGTTGGCTTTTGACTGTCATCTCCATGGCAACCACTGCTGAGTGATGTGCTGTGCAAAAGGTGTGTGGTTGGAGACACTTCCTGTGCCTCACTATTGTTCTGAATCTGCTGCTCACTTCTTAAACAGTTCATGGCCGTTTATTATCTTCCACGCAATGTATGATGTCTTTAAGTTATTGTTTTAAAATACCACGCATACGATACTGACAGATGCATGTTAAATCAATGATAATTATGTATGCCCTCAACATCTGAGGAAGGTAATCAAATCAGAGACATTCAATACTCAATCTTAAAGGGGTCATATGATGTTGCTAAAAAGAACATTATTTTGTGTATTTGGTGTAATGCAATGTGTTTATGCGGTTTAAGGTTAAAAAAACACATTATTTTCCACATACTGTACATTATTGTTTCTCATCTATCCCCCTGCCTTTCTGAAACACGTCGATTTTTACTAAGCTCATCGGTCTGAAAAAGCGAGGTGTGCTGTGATTGGCCAGCTATCCAGTGCGTTGTGATTGGCCGAATACCTCAAGCGCGTGACGAAAATGTTACGCCCCTTGCCATATTGTGATGATGCCCTGTCAGGCCGGAGCGATGATTTTTATAAAGAATATCTCTTTGGATTTGAGACTTTAGTCTTTGCAACTTTACAGATCTTCTTTATGCACCAAGAGCTTGTAACACTCCAAAGAGAAAGGAAAAATTGAAATTGCATCATATGACCCCTTTAATCAGGATACAAGATACTATAATGACAATGTGTGGTCTGAGGTCTATTATAGTCCATTCTGCCGACACCACAGCGATGGCACACTTCTGCTAAAAACTTCTACTTTCCACACTGATTTTGATCAATACCTGTTTCTGAACAAACAACAATGTATTCTATTACAGTTAAGTCCTCTGAGCAGGTTTCAGGTTCAGTACAAGTGAATCTCTATCGATAGCATCTGTGGCCCTATACTGTCAGTTACCACAGAAAAGCATTACGACCCATCGCAGAGTTCGTAAGGACAAGCAAAACTGCAAAACACCGAATTTGATTACAGTAATGCACTTACAATGGCAGTCTACGTTTCTGGTTAAACATGGTGTTTAAACATGGATGCAACAATTTACCTCCGTAATTTGAGTGAAACAGGTATTTGACTAATCAAATATTCAAATCCATTTTCCACTGTCAGTAGTGCAGTGATGTAGGCTACGTACCAAGTATTGCTCATACAGAAGTCACTTTATGTGAAGTTACAGATCATGCAGATTC